TATATATATATATATATTAAAATTTTAAAATTATTAAATTTTTAATGAGAAAGACTAAAATTGCACAATTATGATATTTGAGAGATTAAAATTGTTAAATTAAAAATTGTGAGACTAAAATTACACAACTATGAGTTTTTAAGGACTGAAATTACTCAATTAAAACCTTAGGGATCAAAATTGCATAATTATAATACTTGAGCGATCAAAAACACAATTAAGCATATTCCTTTTTATTAACAGTTTTGGAACGGGCCGTTCTGAATCCAGAACGGGTCGTTTTGAATCCAGAACGGGCCGTTCTGGTTTCAAAACGGCCCGTTCTTCTTCACTGTTGGTGTTTTAATTTTGCAACCAGAACGGCCCGTTTCGATTTCAGAACTGGCCGTTCTGGTTTCAGGTGTTTTCAAAAAATTCTCATCCACGTGGATGCCATGTATGCATCTACGTGGCATCCACGTGGCCAAAAGTTAACTCCGTTTAAATAATTTGGACGGAGGTCCCACATTGAAACTAATTAATTAATTTGGGACTAAATTGAAACCAATTAATTAGTTTGAGACCAAATTGAAACCAAAAATAAAAGTGAGACTAAATTGAAACAAAAAATTATTATAAGGGACCAAATTAGGTTTTTAGCCTAAAAATAACGACTAATATTTATTGGGGTAGTGAACACACAAAATATATATTTTTCTTTTTATATATTTTTATTTGATATTTGATTAAAAAAACTTTAAAATTTCAACAATTAGAATATCAATAAGAATAGACAAATTTTTATAACTTTTGATTTTGTATTATTAATAAAATTATAAATATAATATAACTGTAATATTGTTGTGTAATCTCGATTTCATTTACTTTTCTAAAAGCACGTTAATTAAAAAAATTGAAGAGAGAAATAAAATGCAGAGGATGTAAATAAGGTAATTGTAGGAGTACTAATAGATTCATTTTTTTGTTGTCATATTTGTTTTATCCAGGCAGATCTCTCTCTTATGTGACTTTTGTTGTATTGGTATTAATTAATTTCATCCTGTTTATTGCTCTCTCCAATGCATCTTCTACTTTTGTTCACGAGAATCCAAAGCATATGAGCCAAGAAAATCTGGACCTTGCTTGCTACACTACACTCACTCATTATTATTATTATTATTTATTTTATTTAGGTGCATGAAAATTTGGCTTTTTGAGAGCCACTGTTCCTTCCTTCGTTCCATCATTTTCTTTCATTCCTTTCCACTCTCACCTTTCCAACTCCCTACCAAAACCGCACTTAACTTTTTGCCGTTAATTAATTACCACTTCCACAAACCTTAACAAAACACACATAAGGAACATGTTTAAACAATATATGAGAAAGTATTTTATGAATCAATTGTGTTCACGAATTAGAGTCTCTATATTAAGTTGCGTTGAGTACTAAAAAGAAGTTTTGCTTTGCCGTTCACAATATATATTTTTTTTAATGAAAGATTTTTGTTTTTTAGGTTAATTTTATTTTACTATGATTATAAAAAAATTACATTATCATTTTATAGTAAAGTATAATAAGTTGTGTACATTATTATGCAGGTGTATTAACTATTCATATTCATGTAATTAACATTTTTTTTAATGTAAAAAGGGATAAAATAAGCAAAGTATGCCGGGTACTTTCTGTGGGTTGTCGGAGTAGTTGGCCACAAAAAGATTCACACAAATTTATAAAAAACTAAAAAGGAAACACAGCCTTCAAAGAATTTTATAAAAAAATTTGTAGAATAAAGCGGAAACAGTTGCGCATTTTCTTTTCTTTTGCAAACCACATCCTCGGTCTTTGTTTATATATAATTTTTCTGGCTCCCTTGAATGCAATTGGTTAATACTCAACACTACTTAACAGAGCAGAGAGAAAAGATTGATTCACTTACACACATATATCTTTTTTCCACTGTGGAGTTGTGCATCAAATCTTCTCTCTCTTTGTTTCTTGGTTTGTGTTGTGAAACAGTTAAAGATGCCTGAGGCATTGGAAGAGGGTGCTTCAATGAAAGGAGGGTTGAACCTGAAGGCTACTGAGCTGAGGCTTGGGTTGCCAGGGTGTGAGTCACCAGAGAGGGAGAGGGAGGGTGTGTTCAAGAGTGGAGCCAAGAGGGGTTTCTCTGATGCCATTGATGGGAACTGGAATGCTGGATCTGAAGTTGCTTTGGGTAAAGATGCTGCCTTGTTCTCTCTCACTGCTACAGACTGCACAAACAAACCAACTGCTGTTCTCAAGGAAACTCTTCCACACTCTCCAAAACCATTGCATGACAAGAAGCCCCAGATTTCTGCTCCAGCTGCTAAGTAAATACTTTCTTCTTGCTTCTTGCTATTATATGTGTCATCTTAAGTTTTTAAGTTGTTTCTTCTTGACTAGTCCTATATATCTTCATGCATGTTGATTTCATGATGTTCTGCCTTCATCAAAGTTATTTATTTATTTATTTGTTTTTATGTCTTGTTCCTATTTGGTGTTTATATATATATATATATATATATATATATATATATATATTATATATATATATATATATATATATATATATATATATTATTTTTTTTGTGTTTTCATGAAGTTGGAAGCAAGATGTTTCTTTTGGTGTTGAGTAAGTGGGTTGGTGGATGGTTCAGAGGAAGAGGAGAGGAATTGTATTTTCTCTCTTTCTATTTTAGTTGGTTGGAATTTAACCAGAAATCAACTATTAACTATATTCTCATGTTATTTATTTTAAAATCATTTTAAAACTTGTGTTCTATGTAATTCAGAGGATATTCCTTCTATGTTAATAATCATAGTATATATAGTTACTTTGGCTGTTTCTTAATTTTTCTTCTGTGTCTTGGTTGACTAAGATTGGGATGGATTTGAACTCCTCCAATTATTGTTTTCTATACTTTCTAAAGGCAGAAAGATTTTCACCTCAGACATGAGGATACAAATCTCTATTTGCTATAGTCACAATATCGAGAACGAGATACTTGTAGCACGAGATTAGTCTCTGGTTCGGTGGGACATCTATTAGCAGGATTCCCCAGTTTTGAATTTAATCACTGGCTTTGAAAATTGAAACTTTTGTGAATTTAGGGCCTTGCATAGTGTAATTTATTGTTGTTATGTGAAGCAGGGCACAAGTTGTGGGATGGCCACCAATCCGTTCTTTCAGGAAGAACTCAATGGCTTCTCAGCCAACTCAAAAGAATGATGCTGATGCAGAAGCCAAGTCTGGATGTCTTTATGTAAAAGTCAGCATGGAAGGTGCCCCATATTTGAGGAAAGTGGATCTCAATAGTTTTGGCACTTACAAGGATCTCTCTTTGGCACTTGAAAAAATGTTTAGTTGTTTTACAATCAGTAAGTTCCTTTCTACTGTGTCTTGGCACGTGCTCTCAATCTCATGCATAACCACAAATATTAGTCATAATTGTTGTAACCATGAAGAGTTCAATGAATAGTTCAATCAATATTCTTTACTAAAGAAAATGGTCTTGATGATCAATTTCGTCTGGAGAGGAAAATATGATGAAATCAAATGTAATAAGTAAAAATAAATAGTTGGCTTAACATATGCATACATGCGCACATATTCTGCCCATGTTTAGAAAGGACAGATGTTGGTGGCGTGGATTTAATAACATGGGTCTATTTCTATGTTGTGTAGTGTTTTTATGTTACATATTGTGATGATGTTTCTATTGAGAAGTTCAGGTCAATGTGGCTCTTATGGGGTTTCTAGTCGGGAAAATCTAAGTGAGAGCAGATTGATGGATCTCCTTCATGGTTCAGAATATGTTCTTACTTATGAAGACAAGGATGGAGATTGGATGCTAGTTGGTGATGTTCCGTGGGAGTAAGTTCATTTTCTGATTTAAATTTCTAGGACAATGTTTTGGATTTTCACTAATTTCACGGGTAGACATTATTGTCTTTAAAATACCATGATCAATATAGGACGTATTCACAAGTACTATTTCATTCCTTTTAATTTTTTTCCCGCTCAAGGAAATATCTGAAATGGTTTTATTATTCTTTTAGGATGTTCATCGAGTCTTGCAAGCGGCTGAGGATAATGAAGAGTTCTGAAGCAATTGGGCTAGGTAGGTCTAACGTTAGTTGTAATTAATCTGTTATACTCTGCTTTACTATATACTAATAGTAATTTGATTCAAAGTTAATATTGATAGTTTAGGTTTTAGAAATTAGATCTTAGGATGGATTCTCGTCATATTTTCTCTATACATGGTCTTGTCTTATGTATTATTTGTTATATCCAAATAAATATTTCTATAAAAATTTTAAGATAGGTAGAGGGTATAAATAAAGCAGACCCATGTTCAGAATGGCTTTGTGATCTCAGTTTATTGTTACACTGATCTAAATTGTGTGATGATTGCAGCACCTAGAGCCATGGAGAAGTGCAAAAGTCGCAACTAGTGCAAATGCTGTATGCTTTTATCTTCTGAGCCGGGAAGGTGGAAGATGACATTTAAGCATATAATACGTTGTTTCTTATGTATAATTCTATATACGAGATTGGGGTGTCCTAAACCTTTTAGTGGGCAAGATATATTGATAACAAGATATTAGGTTTGTTGTAGCCGTCTATATCATTTTGATGCAGACGTTTAAGGTTTTAGGTTGTTCTCCCACACTTCAATTACAGTCATTAAGGTTTACTGTAGTATGTAAATTTTGCATTTCTTTTAGTAACTTTCCGCTCTCTCTGAGCGACCATTTTGTTGTCATGCCAAGTTAAGAAAAGAACATCATACTTTCTTTATGTCTCTCCACTCTTATATGCTAAAATTATGTTTAAATGTTTTTTTTAGTCTCTCCTATGAGGTAAATTTAAAATTAATGCAATTTTTTTTAAAAAAATATTTTAGTCCCCTGTTCAAATGTTCTTAGGAAATTTGTCACTAGCGGAAATATACAATCGACTCAATTTGTACTTATTGGACATGTTACATGTGGTCCTGCTCCTGCGGGTTTCAAAAATGATTTTCATTACGCATTGTAAGAGTAAGGTGTTATCTTAATTGCGACTCTCAAAAAATTGAGTTTGTATTTTGATCGAAGAACATAAATGACAAACTACTCAAATTAATAAATTTTTAAGTTAAAGTTTTAAACATTTGATATTTCTTGTTAAAAAAACATTTGATAGTTCTACTTTCTAATGTTCATAAGAAAAAATAAAATTGAATAAAAAATAACTGTAAGAGTCTTCTTTCGTTATAATTTAAATATCAAATACTGTGTACGGTAAGTTTATTATTTTTTATAATAATTATCTTAAGAATTATAACATGTGACCTTTTAAATGCACTATCATAAAACGTTTTAATCTTAGTTTTATTTAAAATTAATTTTTCATCTTAGTAATTATTAAATATGATGCACATTTTTAGATAAAAAAAGCAAGGCAAATTATGACATGTTTAGAATTATCTACGCTATAGTCATATTCTTAATTCTTTTACAAAAAATACATGGGTGATGGGTGTATGATGTATGTAAATTCTAGTCACATATATCACACGATGTAGATGTATGTATGTATGAAAAATAATAAACGAAGTGCAGAACATCTTAAAAGATCATTTTCTACGAAGCATTTGGAGTTTGAACACTGAATTTATAAATAGATTTGTCATACTTCACAAGTGAAGCTAACATTATGAATAGATTTACCATATCAATGTATTACAATTAAATTCAAAAGAATATTCATTTAATGTTGCGTATAGGTAAAGCGATTGATATTTTCACACATCAGTATTTTTGCAAATGTTATTTTGCTAAAGTATTCTTATGAACTTTCTGAAGTGAATTATGTATTTTAATGTGGGGGAATTAGAATAACCAACATTAGTATTTTTCTTTCATACAATGATGACAATAAAGATGAATTTAAGTTTTCATATACATCTATTATCTATATTATTCACACTAGAATGATTAGTAGCTTTTTTTATTTTTTTTTAATCAGAGATTTTAGTAGTTCATCATCAACATTAGTACTTGTTATTACTTTTTGCGACATGACAAAATGAATTATTTACACATAAGTACATAACATTATCTGGTTATATTGTGACTCATTTAAAGGAGGACAATTGACTGTAAAAAACTAAAAATTAACAATATGCATTTCTATAATATACACAAGCATACTTTATTTTAAGTATTTTCACTTAATTATTAACTTGTATTTATATCGGGTATACACTGGGTTTAATAGGCACGTATTATTATTTATCAATGTAAGTTTTTATATTGTTAAAATAATAAGAAATTTATTAATATAGTTATTATGAAATTTAATTACCTTATTATACATGGAGATTTGTTGTTAAATACTTAATAACAGTATAACAAATTTTTGTACTATATTCTTATACTTTTGAATAAGATTTTATCGTCACCCTTATTATTTTCGTATTTACACCACTATAAATACAAAGTAGAATTTCGTAAAATGTAAAATAATATCAATATATATATATATATATATATATATATATATATATTATATTTATAAAAAGATATATTATTTTTTATTACAAAACAGTTTTAAACTTTTTTAACACTATACTGCATATTTCAATAGCATGAATTGGGCCATATAATGAAAGCGGAACACATTCCCTAGACGGCCAGACCCAGACCCATTTGTATTTGATCCACACGTAAAATTTAGGCTATACACCTTTTTTTTTTTTTTTTTTAATAAATAAGTACACCTCTTTTTATTTTTTAAATATTTATAATTTTTTTATTATTTTAAATTTTTGTTTTTAGATCTCTAACTTTTAATTTACTATTTTTTTTTTCACACACTTTCTTTCTCTTTTCCAGTTTTCACATGTACAATCTTTTCTTTTTCTAATTCATCAACTATTTTAGTGGATAGTTTTAGTTCTCTCGATTTTTATATTATTCTCTTATTTTTTCATCTCTTTCACTTTTTCACATGTACCCAAATCATAGAACTGGTAGGCAACAACATTGTAGGTATGTGTAGCTTCCTCGATAGTTTCTATCAAACTAGACACATATTTTTTCTTTTAACACTTCCTTTTCTTTCACCCCTCCAAAAATCTTAAAATTAAGTTTAGTGTTATGAAAAAAATATTTTCACTATTCTAGAGTACTATGCAAATAGTGAAATTAGTGAGAAAACTGAAAGAGAAAGGTAAAAAGAATAATGTAAAACTAAAATAATTAAAATTACCTACCAAAATAAGTGGAGATGAAGAAAAATTAAAGAGATGCATGTGAAAATAAGGGAGAGAAGTATGTAAAAAAATGTTAAATTAAATGTTAAGAGTATAAAATTAAAAATTAAAATAATAAAAATTAAAAATATTTAAGAATTTATTTTTTTTAAATAAGAGGTGTACTGTATATATCATGATGCTAAAATTTATAAAGCAAAATTACGCATTTTCACATACCAGCCAGTTCAATTTAATCATGGACTCATTTTTTTTTTTTTTTTTTTAACTCAGCTTAACCTTTTGGCTGACAATGACATAGGCCACTATTTTTTAAAACATAAAAATTTAAAGATTAACATGATAAATTAATTGTAACATTTTTTGAATCATTGTAAACTAAAATAAAAATAAAATATGTTAATTGTAACAGTAACCATAAAGGAAATTAACAACACATGTAATATAGTTTATGATTTACTAATTATAAAAAATAAATTAGGTCAACAGGCAAACCCAACCAACACAGACTAACCCCCTTTTGAGCTGAAATAAATTTGGACCCTAATTTTGACAACCCTAAATGGATATAACGTCCCACATAAATAAAGACAAGTAAAAGTATAAGCATCGAGTCCTATCCTATGGGTTTGAATCTTTTTAATACATATCTCATGTTTGATAATTTATATAGCCTAGTCTTCTCTCTGTGTATCAAAGTTCAATGACCTAGCAATTTGTATTGATTTCACTAAAAAAAACAGAAGAAAAAAAAGAAAAAATATATGTGGCCTTTTAGGTAACTTAAAAACAAGCCCAACGTGAAAAACATTAAACAAGTCCAAATCACATCTTAACAAACAAAAAAAAATAGACTAACACACATTGGACGTAAAGTCCTACATATTGAACAAATAAAAACAAGTGTACACAAGTATAGATGTCGAATCCAACCTAATCCGCATCACACTCACCTCATATTGGGATTGTGCAAAATCTCAACAATCTTAAAGTAGACACTTTTATGAATTTGTAGAGATTTTTATTTTATTTTAAAATAAGTAACTGTTTGAGAAATAATTTGAACTAAATATGTGATTAGTTGTGCTTGGCAATAATAATACATTAGAACTATTTGAGATGATTTTATCTTTTTAACATTTTTTTTTGAAGAGGTCTTTTTCACCTTTTTTTAAATTTTTTTTATTTATAATAAAGGTGAACTATTTACGATTTGAGTATAATGGAAGGAATCGTCTTTCACAATTTTTAGGTATTCTTTAGAAGCATTCTCTTGGAACAGAAGAAATTAAGTCTACTAAAGTTTAGAAGATTAAAAGTGAAAGCAAAAGTTGTTCATAAGGCTTTAAGGAATTTGTTTGGTCTTGAAAAAGAATGTGAGACGTTTTTATTTTATTTTATTTTATCTTATCTTTATCAATCTTCTACAGAGACTTCATAATAAATATAATTAAAAATAATCTAAAAAGTTTGTCAATTATTTAATGGAGAAGTCGGTAAAACACTCAAATCGAAGATTTAGTTGATTTTTTTTAAATACATTGTATTTTATGTCTAATTCGAATGAGATAGCAAATCTGTTTGTTTGATTTTTTTTTATAGAAGTATTTTTAAATGAAATAAACACTTTTTTAATTTTTGATGTGTTTGTCTAAATTTTTTTTAATAAGTAATTTTATGTTATTTTTTATAAGCAACTCCTATATATTTCTTGAAAAATTATTTTTTTAAAATTAGAAATACTTATTTTTAAGTTTAAAACAAATAGATCCCGTCTGAATAAGTTTCGTGTAAGTTGTAAAATTTTTTCCCTACTAATTAACGTAATTAAAAGCTTATTTTTTCAAATTTTCTTTTATAGAAATAAGTAGCTTTATTTTCAGAACTGTTTATTGAAAGTTTTTGACCAGGCTTCTCTTTTTAATAAAGAAAATATAAGCTCAGAAAAGGGGAAAAAAAAATGGCCAAAGACGGTCGTAATTTCAATAGCAATTAAATTTAATTTGATTTAATTTATAGTTGGAGGGTCTTTTCCCTTTTATATAACATATGTTTGGTCTAATCTTGGCCTCTTAATTTCTAGTCCTTCACGTTACATTGCTGGCTATACTAGAACATAAAAATAAAAATAAAAGTTGTTAATTTCTTAAGTTATAAATACCATGTCAGAATTTACAATAAATAGATACAATATTATTTTAAAATTATCTATATGAAAGATAGATAGTAAGATTCAATTCAAACCAAAGTTTTGTATCATGGCTGATGTTCTGGATCTGGATGCTATCGATCGAGCCAACCATTGGTGTCATCTTCTTACACTATTGGTTCGGTTTTAATAGATTTACCTAATCCACTTAACTGGATTTAAGAAGCAATTAACAGTTTTCAATTATATATTTACATTCTCTTTCTATTTTACAAGTCTTTTTTTGACTCCCCCGAACACATTCTTAATAATCAGCCAGATAAAAAAGTATGCACTAAAAGAGATACGACATATTAAAGAATTGTAAGACAATTGAGAAGCTATAAATTTTAAT